GATCTCTTTAAGCTCTGAAGATATATTAATACTCAACTAGTATGTTCGATACATACAACCACTGTGATATGACTGACTGATTCTTCACGCTTATTTATCCCCGTTATAACATATTTCTAGACTGATATACAGATCTAGAAAATACACAGCTAGCCTAAGGTAAATCATATATGTAAGTAAAGTAAATATCTTAGTTAATGATAGTTTTCTACCCTTTATTTACTCGGTTATAAGAACAGTATAGTAAATTTGGCTATCCCTTATATAGGGCATCAAAGCAGTAGCTGGGAATGTAAGGAAAGAGCATGGCTAGGGGCCGACTCTTATCTTTAGGAATTCCAATCAGACTGTATCATTGGGTGAATTTGCCTCCCCAGTCCCCTGATTTTCGGCCTTAAACTTCACTTTAATTTCTTCAGGAACATTTGAACGATGCCAAACAATCAAAACGCGCCTAACTTTCGACTTCATGGCAGTTTTATCGGCCCACTTTTGTATATAGCATAACCCTACACATTAAAAATAATTATACAGTGAACAAGGAATAAAACTGGTTGGTTTGCTTAAGTAAATTTCCCATGCATGTTTTAGATTTAATACTATTAATTAGGCATATAATTATATCATATAAATGTAACGTATTATTGGGTGTTTGATTATATGTATTTCCAGGGGGGTTGTCTCTTTTCTAATTACTAAACCACGTGATATAGCCAAATTTAAGATTGTCTAGTAATTTTTTTTCTGTACGGTTCCCTCGCTTTGTCAGCCACTTAAATCAGTTTCGACCTATTTTCGGATATAAATGAAAAAATGGGAATAAATGTAGGACAGTTGGTGTTAGAAGGACTTTAACTTATCATTGTGATTTAAGGAAAAGTATTTAACACATGCATATAGCTGGATAGCCATGCATGATGCATTTCCTTGCATCATTCAAACGAAGCATGCAGAAACTGAACTATGAGTTTGATAAAATAAAATGGAAAACCGCCTTAATGTCGAATAGACAAAATTACGTTGTTTTTTAACATGCTCATTTATTATTACACAATGATATGCTGTATATTCTAAAAACATGCACCCGTAGATTCTTTGAAAGAAGAATTATATTGTAGCTATAATTCTTTTAGAATATACCGGTCTAAAGAGAAAAAGTTTGCACAGTTGACATTCAAACGGTCAAGTTCTCTGTTTAAATTTTGACCTATGTAACACTTCCTGGACCCGGTTCCTAATCTCATTGTAGCACAGCATGTTCACTAAAATGCAATTATTGAAGAGTAGTTTTTTACACAGTTGGTGGGGATTTTTTGATTTTTCACTGCAAAAGGCAATTAGTAGATGAGAACAATGTATTTTAAATTCACACGGTATCAAGTTGCTTTGGAAAGTTAATTAACGCACAATTCTGAATATACATGCAGTCATAAATTGTTTTCCCGTAGCGCCAGTAAAGAGAAATATTTACACGACAAAAGTAGAGCAAAATCCATGCACTAAATAATCGCACTGCGATTGCATACAATGTATCTTACATTTTCGCGTAGCTGTTATAGTATGAATGGTTCTGGACCATTATGAAATAAGTCTATGGGATTAATTATTTTATGAATTTATCGGCTATTTGAGAAAAATCGTCTGCAATTCACACACCCCGTTGCACCCTCAATGCACTCCTCGTAAACGTAATTTAAACCTCGTCAAGACATGTTTCAGGTACTTTACGCAACGTGGTTATATTCATGTTACTTATGATTTAAACCCAACTCGATAATTATACCATGTCCCTCTTTATACGCCCCTGTAATTCAAACCATACGCAGTTCAGAACAGAAATGCCCTCGCTAGCGCGTGTACGCGAGTTTACTTGGTTCAAACTAAAGCTTATACGTTCGTTAAAACATGTTTTGAACATTTTTTCCCGATATTATTTGAGTTGTTTATTAGCTACAAACAAACTCAGAACTTCCCACTCATTCTAAACGCTACCGCTGTGCTATTTTTCTAAAATCTAGCGTTCTGATAAGAAGCTGTGTGAGACTATTTATTATATAGTTGTTTGCATATTTACACGCGGTTTTATATCCATTCGTTTCACTTTAGATTATGTGTCATTAAAGCCCCGTTTACACGGTACGAACTTAAACCGGTTTAAATTGAACTCGTTTAACTGGCACCATATAGCTGCGTTTACATGACCACTTTAAAAAATTTTAAAGTAATCCGCGTAATTTGATCCACCTCGAACAGGTAGTGTAAAATAATCCCGCTTCATTTACACCGATTCGAAAAATCAAAGATCAAGTTAAACCAGATTAAGTGTGACCGTGTAAACGGGGATTAAGCCATTTGCTCTATATAGATTAATACGTTGATAAAACTTTGAGCCATTCTAGTTAAATATTGAATATATTGTCAATCAGCAGTAATTACTTATATATTCAATGTGAAATCATTGGCATTGCCTTCCTTAAATATTCACTAAATATTATTGTAGAAATACGACAGCACGATCTTCAATGGGGCGAATGCACGCGGCGATTATTGTTTTATGCGTGTGAAACATGAAAAAGGTACAAATCCCAATGATCGTCTCAACGAAAAAACGAGTAGCAATTTGATTTCGACACAACATATAAAATGAGGTCTTACAGTTATTTGTTTGGAATGTCAAAGTAGATCGATAGTCCAACCTGCCTCAATTATCGAAATCTTTTTTGGACCGTAAAAAATGCTGACTTGTATAATTCATTCCAAGTTGCGCTCCTGTAGAGATATCTATAAAATTAGACAGAAAAATTTTGAGCTACTCACTAGTGTTGGCCATAAACAGGCTAAGAGTGGATTGGAGTCATTGGACGTTTGTTCCTGAAAATTAAGAGAGATAGACACCAGTGGCCTCGCGGTACATTATTGAATCAGTCTTGAATCAAGCATCGCTTATATTAAGGTAAAACTTGCTAAATTTTGAATTTACGTAGATTCGTCATTTGTCACTTCTCAGACTAGACTTAGTTTTGTTGGTTCAAAAATATCAATCTAATAATAATAATAATGATAATAATAATAATAATACACCTATTAACATTATCGCCCTTATAAACCTCAGTCGCGCTTTAAAAGTTTAATTCATTAGTTGTTTAAAGCTATAGGTTTTTCCTTAAATTTGAAATAAGAATATAAACCTTTTGGTCTGGTCCAAACGTATATCATTCACTCTATAGTCGGTATAATAATGACTTATGAACGGAAAGTTTAGCACTAAACTAACCGTCACTCGTGCCATTTTAGCCTGTATATATAGCTAGTGCCGATATATTTGTTATCAAAGTTAGACATGCACTATATTATTTAGACCCTCATATTCAACCATAATAATATATTAAAATCTTTTGATTCTCTATATATAATGTATATATGCATTCAACGGATCTGAATTTTATGAAAATGAAACGTTCCCATGTAAGGTTTATTTGTTTTGCATCTATAGCCACCGGGTTAAAAAGATTTGCTAAAAATCATGTTTTAACATTTTTACCAATTAAGCAGGGCCAGACTGTGCTCGTCAACTTTTGAGCGACTCTTGGCTTCGCTCTTGGTTCAACCTTTTTCTGTTTAAGCAATATTTCGAATATACCGTAGTTGCTATATCGAGGTTTTGCAAAACACTACTTGCACGCAAAGAAATTAGGATTTTTGAGGACTCAGCTCTCTGTTTCTTCGTTTTTGCCATGTACATGCTGGAAGGGGTAATGGGGACTTGAGCCGAAATATTTTACTATATAGTAATTAAGTTGGCGAGAGCTATTTTAGTATATCAATATTAAAATAAAGTTAATGAGGAAACGTTCATATCAAGGTGCGTCTTCGGTTTTAGCAAAAAACATATGTTGCGGGCGGCATGTCAGACATGCGTCAAACCGGCGCTCCAATGCATTAGTAGATCCAGGGCGTAGTAAAACACAGTGTGTTTTACACGTAGTGTTTTACTACGCCCTGGTAGATCCAATATGGCATCGCACGCAAACATCATTTGACCTGCTCAATCCAACCAATTCGATTCCTAATACAACTATATAAGCGCGAATTCCAAAGGCAAAGTGTAAGACGAAGCAACGGTATCATGCGGTTTATTTACATTTTTGAAAAATTGAACTTCTATACTGCGATGTGCTTCTGAATTTCGCGATCGAACATTTAGGTTCGCAAGACATCTAAATGCGAATATGTATGCGAAACAGTACGCGAACTGTATTGTTTATGTTCAGAAGCTCTATATTGAAGACTGGCACGTGCGCCGGAGTTAACGCCAGAACGGCGTCTTGTATAGTTTAAAATTAATATATGTCATAGTATTCCTTTAGTAATCGAATAAATAAAAGTACAAGTTCGGGCTTGGGAGGAAGCGCTCCTGAGTGTCACGATCAAGCCCATAGACTCAGCATTGAGTTATTGTAAACATAGATCAGTCGAATCGTATACTGTCCAACTAGCGTGTGCGGTGGCCAGGTTGATGTCTTAGAGGCTAGCTACCTCTTTCATGGTATTTAGCGTGTGCGCATACATGCATGACATCATGCGCTGGTGCGCAGTTGCAGAGTCCTAATTGGGAGAATATAAACCCCAGGACAACGATTTAAAGGCCATTTAAGAACGAGTCTTTGGGATGAAAGAATGACCGCAAAGAATAACATCCTATAGGAGTGCTTCCCCCAAACCCATTCTCCCACAAAAAACGCGTGTCTTTATGTGTATTGTTTTGCGTAGAAAACCCGCTTGCTAATAATCTTCAGAACGGCTTCGATCATTAATGTTTATTAACTTAAAGTATAAGTCAGAGGCCAAGGCTTTGATTCCTACAGTGGTTTAGCTAATTTTTTAAGCTTATTTCATGAGTATAACTCAGTGTAAGACCATCCACTAACATCGGCCATGAATATTCATTCAACGCGGAATCACTGTAAACAAAACAAAGTCGAGTCTCAACAGCTTTTGAATAAATGTTAGGTAACTGTTCGTTTTCGCCATAGAACATCTTCAAACACTAAAATTTGCATGGATGCAATTTATTTTAATCTTAAATCGAAACGCTTTTTCAATTAGATAAAATTTTATGTTCAAATTTGCAATAAAATATGAACAGCACTGTAATATTAATGTATGAATCGGGCATGTTTTGATCAATTTACGATCGCATGATCACAATTAATTTGATGAGTAGCACTAGCTTCTTATGCATTTATAGCTATACAGGCTCATGCAGGTAATAAAAGTAAAAGTCTCAATTATATTACTTTTGCAATATTACAGGTTCTGAAATTGCACGCAGAGAGGCTGTGTTTGGCAAACGGCAAGTCAATCCAATCGATATGACTCGAAATGTGTATCTTAGGTTCTCAGTTTTTGTCCTCTTAATGGCTTTAGTTTGCTTTGTCCACGAGAGTTCAACATCGTCGCTAAGAGGTAAAAATGTTTTTTTTTATTCACGAATGGAGACTTGTAATCTGACAAGCGCATCGGTCAAACGCAGAGACGACAAGATCAAACTTCAAATGAATAAATCGGACGTCGAGAATATTCTTAAATTGATGCTTCAGTATACTACCAATGTCGTTGAGATAGAATTGACTATCCATTCTAAGAACAACACGCGATCTTTTCCTAAATACAAATGGTCTTGGGCCAGTGAAGTTGGTCGAACAGTTATTTCATTGATTGAACGACCTTTTATTAAGCTAAATTATAAACCCAGTAGTCTGCACTTTATTACCTTAAAACGAGGGATCAAAAAGGTGAATGTCGTTGTCTTTGAGGAAATTGATGGATGTCTGCCAACCGGAAACAAAGGATCTGAACTTGTTTTCGACTTTCTCCTGCGCCAGCTTTCTCATTCAGACGACACTCACGATTATAAGTTATGTCGCCCTCACGATGACGAGGACGGCTTGAAACAATATAACTGTTGCAGAATAACAACCAATGAACTGTCCGTTTGTGATGACTATTTTTCGAATATAATCGATCAAGCTAGTTCATACATAGTAGCAGTTACAATACTCGTTGGTTTTTTCGGATTCCCTCTAATTATCCAATATTTGCAAATTAGCGAAAATAACGGGCCGAACGAAGATTATGGGATTAGTGACAGTCCATTGACACTTAAAACAGTTTTATATGACCTTTTTGTCGAAGGATCCAGTCCCAATAGATCTCGACTTAGAAGATTTTTTTTATGGCTTATAACAACAATTTTGTTCTATATAAGCAGTTCATATTTCATCATTCCTTCAATTGTTTTTCTCGTTTTTATGCCATTTGATATTTTCTTACTAAACAAATTCGGTAAACAGGGAAAAGAAATTTATAAATCCTATATATTCACTATTACTTCTCCCTTCAATCCACAACTCTGGTGGAAAATTTTTGACAAGTTAGTGCTTCAAAAATTTGAAACAACAGTGTGTAAGATTTGCATTGCTATCGTTTCCACTATTTTCTTTCCTCTTTTCTACGCTATTGTCTGCATTGTCTCTTTTCCGTCATTGACGTCTGCGGTGTTGTACGGAACATTTCTCACAGGTCGACCTGTTCAGGGTGCTTGGGAGCGTATTGGAAATTTTTTACGCTCTGTAGTTGCACCCTTAGCAGTAGGGTTGTTCATACTTTCTTTGGTTGTTTTCTTAAATATAATGCTCCCGCTGATTGCTGGGATTTACCTTAATGGACAAATTTTCGGTCCATACTTCACACCTATCGCAGGTGTTGTTATTTATTCACTAAAGCATTGGAGATGGTCAGTCGAAGCTAAGTACCTGGTTCTAAAAACGGACATTTACGAAGTGTGCAAGAAAATATGGGAAGACCCACATAATGGAAGACAAAATAAACAACCCCCAGGAGGAGAAAATCAACAACCTCCAGCAAGACAAAAGAACTTTACTGTCAATGTTAAAGACGGAAGAATTCCGAAAATTCTATACAAAGAGATCAGGAAATTAATTTTGCCGCTTAACAAATCCTTGTTCTTTTTCTTTCTTCAGATATTTTTGGTTGCAAATTTCTTCTTCGTTGTAGTGGTCATGATGTTATTAGCCCAGAAATCTAACATTTCCGGACAAGTTCAAATAATGAGCACGATTGCATTAAGCACATTGCCGTTTATATTCGACACAATATGGGTTGAAGATACTTGTGAACAGAAGAGTGCTGATAGCCTGAAGCAGCAAAAGGAAATAAAAGAAATAATGACTTTTGTATCGAAAGATGTCACTACAATAACAGTAAAGGTAGATACAGAAGAAGAAATCCGGATCGAAAAATGGACTGACGTTTTTTTGGCTTTTAATCCGTTATGGAAACATTACCAGCAAGATCACCCAGGTTAGAAATTTGTATCACACACTATTTTATCACGCATAGCATTACCATATTCACAGCCAACCTCGTACCCAGGGTCTATTCTCTGTGCTCACTCTGGGGGGAACACCCCTGAGCAAAGACCCTGGTATTGTCTGGTCACGTGTCTCCCAGAATCTGGGAGGTGACAAAAATTTTTTGCTTGGGACCGGTGGCTTAGTAAGATATAATGACTTTATTCATCTCGCTAAGTCATGAATGACTTTATTGTCTTCGTCGCGCACAACACATATCGGCCTCGCACATTTTTATCTCAAATTTCACAAGCCATATACAAAAGCACATGTTTTGGATCAAAGGTCATTGAGTAGGATGGCTTCGAAGGAAACACCCAAGAAGGTTTATAAGGAGAAAAATTCGTCGATCGATCCGTTGGCTTGCAGACTTTGTCGATCAGCTAGTGACGCAAATCATCGCAAAAATATATTTAAACATCGGGAATTGTTGAAGACTGCAGAAGCATTGTGCGGCTATCCTTTCTTACGAGATTCAATTTTGCCCCATCTGTTATGTCGGCCATGTGACCGAAGACTGAAAAACGTAACAGAATTTCAAAATGTTATAAAGAAAACACAAGATGGATATCGCCAGCAAAGTAGAGTAAAACGATGCATAGAAGTATCTCCGTCGGTATCCCAACCACCAACATCTCGATTGTTCAGACCTGTGCATGCGGCTAGATCTTCGCTGAATTTTGATCAACCATCATCGATTACAAGTCGCGACGAAGAGGTATAAAGCGTAGATATATTTGCATAATTTGCCAAACTGACATCTATACTTTTTTATGTTAAAGCGTTAATAAATAATTCATGTTTTCTAAAGTGTTACAGCTTTTATATTTTATGTTTACCGATGCCCTTTATTAATTGTTTTACAGAATGAAAATCCCTTTTGTGCGAGAAATGGATTTGACAATATCTTAAAAGAGGAAAACAAAGAGTTATGAATATTTCACGTAAAGATATACCATCCGTGTTAAGAAATAGAGCCTACGCAGGATTGAGCGACCCTAACTGGATGACCGAGGTTGTAAATGAAATCTCGACGCGATGCCCTATTGTCGCAAGAATACTGTCAAGTTTGTTTGATTGTTCTTGTTTGGACGCAGGAAATAAATTGCCACCAATTTGTATTGTTTATGGGATAATCATGTTCACCAAGTGTCGTCGTGACTTGAGCAGAATTCAGCGAATCAATACCATTCTTCTGACAGAAGGAAATGCTACTAAAAATGTATGTTCCTTACTTCTTTTGCCATTAAATATAAAATTATATATATATATATATATATACATATATATATATATATATATATATATATATATATATATATATATATATATATATATATATAAACAATTATTAAGAAATTCTTCGTATGAGATAAAAGAGTGCTCAATACTGCAAGCAAATAGAGCAATATATATTTATTCATTTACATAATTCTTAAAAAATTGGCATCGCTACTCTGAGTTTCATGCCACAGAGGCAATCATCAGGCGACTAAATTTCAGTTCGTTACAAGTTTGATGACGTGCGACTTTCTTGTTTGCGCGTGCGTTTAAAATTTCCTGCCCAGAATTTTTCTCGGTGGCGGCACTTGGCGAAGATCTCTGATCTTTTGTTGAGGAGTTTGTTTGCGTCACCCTGCAAAAGACACAGTTTCTCTGCAATACAGAGGTTGCATCGTTTAGCACCCGGCGAGTATGCTGGCGCGCGTTTCGTGATGGACCAGGAAAGTGTAAACTTCTTATCATTTCTTTTCAAATTCCAAATATACTTTGAAAGTTCAGTTTCCTTCTCGTACTTGGCGTGGTTAAAGGACTTTTTATGGTTGCTGAATCTTGATTTAAACGAATTCGCGGTCATTCCGAGGTATTGCTTGGTCTCATCTTCGCTATTTAATACTATTTCGGCTGAATAAACCACGTTCTTAGATAGGCACTTTTGGTCAAGTGGACACTGTGAGGTATTTCTGCAGTTACAATAACGGGGTAGTTGCTCCTCAGCAGCTTGGTTCAAGATCTTGTTGTTGTGTCGTGATATGATGTTTTTCACGTTTGGCATGCAACTGTAGCTAACCTTGACTGTGTTTCGGTTGAACAGCTTGTGCCTCTGCACAAGTCTGAGATTATGACATTGCCAGTTCTCATGAAGGACGAGAAAAAGTACAGTGACTGTGTGGATGTTCTGGATCAATTGGAACAGTGAACAGAGGATGTGTACAGTGCAAGTGGCATCTTTGACTTTTCACAACCTTCCTCAACTGTTTCCCATGAAATAATCCAGGTACCTACATGCCCAGATCAACCTAGAGCACATATTCTACCAATTACTTCTGAATCTGACCCTTTAAAAGATGTCAAAATTCCATGTTTTTGAGATGAGTTGACCAGAGTAAGGTTTGTTGGTGCACGGGATCCTCGTTCAGGATGCCATACTCCTAAACAGCGATTGGATCATTTGTACCCGTATAGAATACACATTGCTTCGCATTAACTTTCTGCCATACGAATTGGTGACAAGGGACTCAGGATGCGCAAACAAAATGTTATAGTATCCGTCTTTGAGTTTCGCTTTGTCGCTTAGACGAAAGTCGCACACACATTCAGATGTCCTTTCATCATCCTCCTCATCCGCTTCCTCATTTTCGTCCGTTGACAAGTTTAATACGTCGATTGCTGATGCACGAATTATACCAGAATTTAATCGCGATATCTGGTCTGCCATTAGTGCGTTTAAAGGCGATACAACGAGAACGATAGTGTCAATATGTTCGGTGCATTTAGCAACGCCGTTCTTTGCCGCAAACAACAGTGCAGGAAGCAAGTAAAAAACCAATGATTTACCATATCCAGTTGGTAAAACAGGAAGAATATCTAACTTCAGAAATATCTTTTCTAAACAAATCACCTGTTTTGGCTTTAAAATTATATTGTTATACAAGCTATTTTGTATTGCAAATTCCAAACACGAAAGAAAAAGCCAGCACTCCGAGTTTTTCAACATGGCGACAACGCACGTGTGAAACCGACCCCCCCTCCCCTCCCTAGGGAGCAAAATTTAATGAAAGACACGTGACCAGACAATACCAGGGTCTTTTCTCAGCGGGTGTTCCCCCCTAGAGTGAGCACAGAGAAAAAACCCTGGGTATGAGGTTGATTCACAGCCAGTTAATTGTATTTTCCAGGCAATCAGAACTTTGAGCTAGCTAACTGCAGTCAGTAGTATAACTGATTAAATTGTTTGAACCGGGTGATACCGTGATACTGTGAAGCGGCTGTACTATACAGATAATACAATATATTTACTAATAACTAATTATAATACTAAAATAGAGATGATTGACATTATGTTGACAGGACTAATTAAGGAGGTAGATAGAATAAGAGCGTATTGTAGAAGGGTTAAGAAATACAAGATTTAGAATAGAAGATCGATACAGAAAGAATATTACATTGGCGACGAGAATGGCGGAAGAAAACGTCCAAGAAGATAATACAAATGTACAAACAGTGACATCGTCTCTTTCGATACAACCCATAGCAGAATTCAACCCAGACATAGAAATCGGTGCTAGCTTAGCGACGCGATGGAACACATGGCTCGCAGACTTTGACATGTTTCTACTCACTAGTGGAATTCAAGATAAAAAGCAACAAAGAGCGCTTCTTCTTTATCAAGCTGGCTCGCGCATCCGTGAGATATTTCGACAATTAAATGATACAGGCGATGACGATGACTATGAGCGTGCCAAAACAAAACTTACGGAATACTTTGAACCACAAAAAAATCGCCGTTACGAAGTATACAAATTTCGTGAAGCTAAGCAGGAACAATCGGAAACTTTAGATCAATTCCCGATTACGAAAACTTTCTCAAACCTGTGGGTTGTTGACTTCGAAGTAGAACAACAAATAATAATGGCAGGGACTTCTTTAAGAATACACAAGAAAGCCCTAAGAGATCCTGAGTACACACTCAAAAATATCCTTCTGCAGGATGGCCGCAGGGATGAGCAGAGTAAATACCAAGCCCGAGACATAGAGTCGAAGGACCAGAACAGCAACAGCATAGCCCCAATACGATTAATCGACGCGAAGATGTCATTTTTGTGGCGGTTCATATCCCCATCAAGGCGTTTGCCTATAGCGAAAGGGAAAAGTTGTCATAAATACGGTAAGCAGAATCATTTTTCTAAAGTATGTCGCGGCAAGCCTAAACGAGACAATACTACACAAAATCACTATAAGAAACAAGACGGAAAAACCAGCAAACGACACCTAAACCCTCTGAAACCCAATGAGAGCGATCGTTCAGACAGTACTGATGAAAATGAAGATTATTTATATTCTGTACGTAGTAAAAACACTTCCAAAGTCCGTGTTACTGTCTGCAAATCCTCTTTTGACGCGACAATAGATACTGGTGCAACAATTAATGTTATAGATAAGTATACGTATGACAAAATGGACGGTGTAAAGTTGAGAAGTACAAACATTAAGACATGCATACACCGCTGATAAACCAGTTAAATTCATTGGAAAATTCGAGGCATTATTAGAGACACGTAAAAGAGTCTATGTAGCTAATAGCCCGGACAGTGGAAACCTTATATCTGCTTCGACTGCCCAAGAGCTTGGATTAATAAGCTTACATATACATGGTGTAACGCAAACCAATCGAGATGGAAAAACCGATCAGATTTTAAAGAAAAATGAGAGAGTTTTTCATGGTTTAGGCAAGCTATATAAAAGGTGAGCAGATAAAATTAAATATTGATTCGACACACCCACCAAAAGCGCAGCCACAAAGGCGTATCCCTTTTCACGTACGAGAAAAAGTGAAAGCCGAATTAGAACCGTTGGAGCGTAGTGACATTATTATATTGAACGAGTACCAGAGTCACAACCAACCCCATGGGTTTCTCCCATAGTGATAGTCCCTGAAAAGGATGGCGGAGTGTGTCTGTGCGTTGACATGAGACAAGCAAATTCAGCGATTAACCGAGTTAGACACCCAATACCGACAGTAGAAGATATTCGACTTGAACTAAACGGTGCAAAATGGTTTTCAAAACTAGATCTTTCCCAGGCGTACCATCAATTAGAGTTAGAAGAAAATAGTCGTTATATCACAACTTTTAGCACTCATGAAGGACTATTTAGATACAAACGTTTGCATTACGGGACTAACGCAGCCGCAGAGATTTTTTAGTTCACCCTACAAGAACAATTGCGAGGATTACAATGCGTTAGGAACATTGCGTACGACATAATAATTTATGGGAAAACAAGACAAGAACATGATGAGAACTTAGATTAATGCTTACAGAGGCTTTATGCACATTTCTAAATAAGAGCTTAGACTTTTTTGGACAAGTCTTTTCAGAAGGTGGAACGAAACCAGATCCCAAACGTGTAAAGGACTTACAAAATGCACCAACGCCCACAAATGTACACGATGTCCGAAGTTTATTAGGCATGGCCAATTACAGTAGCTGCTATATCGCAAACTTCGCCACAATAACAGCACCGTTACGTGAGTTGACAAAAAAAATACGAAATTTGAATGGCGAGACGTTCATCAGAAGGCATTCCAACAATTGACATCTGCACTATCAGCAAACGAGTGTAAGGCATATTTTGACACTCAAAAGGACACATATATCACAGTAGATGCAAGTCCAGTAGGTATATCCGCTATTTTATCACAATCAACGCCAGGCAAAGATGATGAGAGAGTCGTAGCCTACGCCAGTCGGGCACTGACGGAAGTTAAAAAGCGATGTGCACAAACAGAACGTGAAGCCCTAGCAATCGTCTGGGGAATGAAACACTTCTATCTCTTCATATATGGTTCACAGTCACATTAGTCACTGACCACAAGCCTCTTGAAGTCATATACGGCAACAGAAACGCAAAAGCATCTGCCCGTGTTGAGCGCTGGGTTCTGAGACTTCAACCTTATTCATTCAAGGTATTTTATAGACCAGGACGAACGAATCCTGCTGATTATCTCTCTAGGCACCCAGTAGAAACAAGCTTCGAACAGCAACGCATGACCGAAGAATATGTGAACTTTATCGCACTCAACAGCGTTCCGAAGACCATGACAATTGAAGAAATTATAAAAGCGACGGATGAAGACCAAGTGTTAAAAGGTGTTCGAGCAGCAATCAAAATAAATAAGTGGGACTACAACATTGTTAGACAGTTCAAGCAAAACAAAGACGAGCTGCAGTCCGTTACAACGAAAGGAGTTATACTCCGTGGTGCCAGAATAGTAATTCCAGAAAGCCTTCAACAAAGAGCCATTGATATTGCTCATGATTGTCATATGGGACTAACAAAGACCAAGGCACTTTTAAGAGAAAAAATATGGTTTCCTAATATAGATCAATTAGTGAAAGACACCTTGGCGAAATGCATTCCTTGTCAAGCGGTAGGAAAGCCAAAACCACCAGAACCCCTGTCTATGACGAGCATGCCAAAGGGACCTTGGGAAGTTATTCATGCCGATTTCTACGGTCCGTTACCATCTGGAGAATATCTTCTAGTGGTGATCGATAGGTACTCCAGGTATCCAGAAGTGGAAATCGTGTCGTCAACTAAAGCTTCAACGGTTATACCTAAGTTGGACAAAATGTTCGCAACGCATGGCATACCATGCAGATGGGTTAAAAACGGACAATGGCCCTCCTTTTAACGGAGAGGAATATCGACGATATATTTGAGCGTTGGGAATTAAAGTATTATATTCCACACCATATATTGGCCGCAAGGTAATAGCGAAGCCGAACGATTCCTGCAGCCCTTAGGCAAAGCTTTAAGAACTGCTAAAGCCGAAGGAAGACCGTGGAGACAAGAGCTAAACAGGTTTCTTCTTCAATAAAGAACAACGCCACATTCGACTACCAAAGTACCACCGTCGTAGTTAATATTCAGTCGTGTGGTAAAAGGCAAACTTCCAATGATCAGTAAACGTAACATTGTGAACAGACAAAAAAAAGCACGAGAGAATGACAAGGCAGGAAAAGAGTATAACAAGCAGTACGCAGACAATCGTCGGAAAACTAAACATCGTAACATCGCTGTCGGTGATTGTGTATTGGTTAGACAGAGAAAACAAAACAAGCTGACAACAAATTTTGACACCACACCATATCGTGTTATGGGAACAAACAGATGGCAAGTTACAGCACAAAGTAAAGATGGACACAAAATAACAAGAAACGTGTCACACTTTAAACGTAAAAAGTAGAGGTAGATGCTGACGTCGATGACGAAGAGTATAAAATAGATAGATAGATGTTTAATCAATAACCATTGCAGTAACACAAACTATTGCAGTTGCGACTGAAATAAATGGTGCTTACAAGTTAAAATATTTTATTAATAACATCAATATAAAGTTAAAACAGAGAAAAAATTATTTACTTATTAATCTTTAAACTACTTGCTACTAAAAAGGTGTTCTTAAATCGTTCAGTTTTAAAATGAGGAATGTTTATTAATCTATTGCAACGAAGGTTATAAAAGGATGCTGAATCGACTTTAGATATTAGATTGTATAATTTATCACTAGGATTATCTAAAATTCGTTGAAAGAACTTTTTGCTCGCTTGTTCTCTTCGGTCATAGAGAGTTAATTCCCCAGATTCAATTAGAGCATCCCTATAACTAAGGTGCGTATATATGATTGACAATGCACGCCTTTGAATTTGTTCTATTTCATCACTTAGATATTTTGGTAGAGATTGATGGAAAACTGTAGACGCATATTCAAGTACAGATCTAATGCATGACTTGTAGAACTGCATGATATCTTCCCTTTTAACATTTGCCCGTTTCAATTGTATTAAAAGATACAAACGTTTGGAACATTTTTTAATGATGTGGTACACATGACTGTTCCACCTCAAGTCCGATCTTAAGGTCACTCCAAGTAACTTTGCTATCTCTATAAAGGAAATGATGCAAAGAATGCGAAGGCAGGACAGAACAATTCTCAATCGACACCCGAAGTTCCAGCGAACATAGCTAGGAGATCAACGAGAGACAGAAGAGCACCGCAAAGATACGGTAACCCATTATTGGGGAACAATTCTCAATCGACACCCGAAGTTCCAGCGAACATAGCTAGGAGATCAACGAGAGACAGAAGAGCACCGCAAAGATACGGTAACCCATTATTGGGGAAATAAACACTTTCTCAAAAAAGGGGAGTGATGTAATATACAGATAATACAATATATTTATTAATAACTATAATTATAATACTAAAATAGAGATGATTGACATTATGTTGAGAGGACTAATTAAGGAGGTAGATAGAAAAAGAGAGTATTGTAGAAGGGTTAAAACAAATACAAGATTTAGAATAGAAGATCGATACAGAAAGAATATTACAGTGGCCCTATTGTTCTTTCTCTATACTGTGTTTATTAAAAATAATCTTATGTAAATAATCTATCCGTATTCCTGTATAGATTGAAATCAAGATAACAAACAAGAAAAGGTTAAATGAACAGAACCATAAAAATCAGACGTCAGTGCAAAATATATAACCTAGAACTAGTACTACCAAGTAATCAAGTTGATACTAAATATTTCCATGCATGCAGTTATTAATTAAATCTGAACTAATATTTTATGTGAAAGTCCGTGTATTTTCAGAGCATTAGAAACGGATAGAATGATGTAAATGCGTAGGCCGGCAAATTGTAAATATTTTTAAGCAATGTGGAACCATTTAATATTTCACGAATCCAAAATATTCTGCAGTTTCAAGCTTATATAATATTCTTTCAAGTCTTCGCATGATTTATTTCCTGAGATTAAAAAAAGCTTGAGTTGTTTATAACCAAAATGAATTGTGAAAGTAAGTCAGCTTGTTCCAGTGTTTCGGGGTTTGTTTGCGCAGGTTATATCAATATATCTGTACCGCAAAGATCGTACCAATGTTTTTAACATCTGGTTTCTTTAACTGATTTTTCATACACTGTTGCAGATTTCAAGGTTTCGGGCAGTGAACTATAAATTCATTGACAATTGGCAATGAACCTCTTGCTGTGAGTGTTATTAGTTTAGGGGTTAGAATTGAAGAATATGATGAATATTTCTTGTTTCACAAATTTCATCAAATTGCGTCCTATATATAATTGGACGAGGGTTGAATTGGTAATTGTTATGCGGTAGCGCGCGTCTTCTTCATAGAGACATGTTTAACTCAGTACACCGCAAGCTATATATTTGAGACTTGCATGGGTCTGCCTTCAAATAAGTCATCAGTCTTCTTGAACATGTTATTCCTATTACAAACAGGATTACTTTCAGGGAGATTGCAGTCAAATAAATTAATATCTTAAATACTACAAATACAAAGAAAGCATTCTCTTTGCTGCTAGATTGAAGTTATTAGAGCTAGGACGCTGCTTGCATTTGAAATGTTTGTTTGTCAGTTTCTAAAAAGCGGCGGCAAAGGAATTTAAGAATGCATGAGTCACATGTTGCGATTATTACGCTACGGAGCGAAAGACGATTGGGCTAAACATGCATGATATTTCATTAAAGCGGAATTTAGGAGTAAAATTAATTTCGTTGTTAATTAATTAAGTTGAGTCGTAATCCTGTTTGAGGTCGCGTCGCCTCCACAGGGAAAAACGGTTTCCCATTTTCTTCGATGCATTTAACTTGCAGTTAAATTTCATAGCGACTCAATTCTGCACTATACATTCCTGTCATTAGAACCTTTCATGGTCCACAGTTGCTGCATTGCTTTACCATATTTTTGCCCGAACATACATTTGAACAAAAAGATACCCACAAAAAGAGGCTGAAACAGAAAATCAAAAAATTTATCAAAATAGTGAATAAAACTGGCGATATTGTAAAGGTTAAGGTTGAGGTGGAATGCGAAGCAGTAAACATGAAAGACATAATTAATTTTATTAAATCATTCATCGACTTAGTTGACAAACTCCAATAATAATTTCCAGTGGCGTATTTCTTGTTAATGCTAGAATATAATATCCTTGCTCAGCTATTAAGACTCAGAGGCTGTTTGTACGAAAGCAGGAAACCTCTATCCAGCCATTAGTGGCTGTTTCAATCTCTCTAAAGGCATGTTGTTAGTACTGTAGTTCTCTTTAATAAATGTTTGTCTCAAAGCAGTATTTTTTTGCCGTTCAAGCATCTTTAAAACTGTTGAAAAATCACTTTATCCGCTGGATAGCGTTATCTAGCTTTCGTACAACAACCTTCTGTCCCCTGATTAGTGTCTTGTAAGTATATAACCGTTATTATTAGTATATTGTAAGTATTTTACCGTTATTACCTGATTAGTATATTGTAATAATATAACTGTCATATAACTCTGTAATATATAGCGCAAATTAATGAATGTAACCGATCGATAAGTAATACAACTATATTTACGAACTAGAAATACATGCATGCAGCAACCCCTCGCCATTGCAAACGAAGCAAAATATTTCCTGAGCTAGCCAGACCTAACCTTCAATATTATGAAATGTCCTAAATATAAAGCCGATAGCTGATGTTTCAAATATTTCGGAAACAAACACAGTCGTAAAGGTGAAGTGAAATCACCCATTTTCCTGCTGCTTTCCGTTGCATTAAGTTATAGACTTTCACAGTTTAAGTTACAGTTAATACTTCATTATAGCTAAACCTTCAAAACATCAAAACAGCCCAAATAATATAAATAACCAAGCAGTGAACGTCGAATGTTGTTTTTCGATTATTAAATCCATGCAGTGATTGCAGTCGACTATATATAAGCCTTTAAAGTGATATTTGTTATATTAAAACTCCGAATTACAGTTTTAAGGTAAAGATGTAAAGCCTTAAATAGTCGGTCACGTCTTCGCAAAACCGAGCAAAACGACATACTGTACCAAGGTCATAAAATGTATTCGTACAGCAAACACGAAATAAACCTCGAAATAAACAAAATAGACTCCTACCATTTCAAGGATTATAATCGAGTTGTTCCTTTTCACCACTAATTCCTCCAGTTCTGATAATATTTTAAACTCTTTCCAGTGTTTTATCCGTTATTTGATTCCACATTTCATATTTTGTTTTCGAAACATTTTTTTAAAAAATAGTTTGCAAAATGACAGTTAATTTGCTGACGTTTTACACTGAAACAGAAACGTTTCGTCTTAGCCAATCAGGAAGTTGCTAATTACCAGTCTACACTAACACCGCGGAAAAATATCTGCGCACGCGCCGAAATATCAAAATACTAGAAATACATGCATGCAGCAAGTCGGTCACGTCTTCGCAAAACCGAGCAAAACGACATACTGTACCAAGGTCATAAAATGTATTCGTACAGCAAACACAAAATAAACCTCGAAATAAACAAAATAGACTCCTACCATTTCAAGGATTATAATCGAGTTGTTCCTTTTCACTGCTAATTCCTCCAGTTCTGATAATATTTTAAACCCTTCCCAGTGTTTTATCTGTTATTTGATTCCACGTTTCATATTTTGTTTTCAAAACATTTTTTTAAAAAATAGTTTACAATTACAAAATGACAGTTAAATTGCTGACGTTTTTCACTGAAACACAAACGTTTCGTCTTAGCCAATCAGAAAGTTTTTTAACTGCAATACTTAGCTTATAGTATTTTTGTAATATGCATCGCAATTTAGCATAATATTGTAATATGCATCGCAATTTAGCTTTTTAGAATAGCTATTTGATGTGTAATTTCTCAATAATAATAATAATAATAATAATAATAATAATAATAAGTTGCTGATTACCAGTCTACACTCGTTCGCATTTCGCGCATGCGCACAAGTACCATGACCATTGAACGTCCACGGTCCACGGTCCACGACATAGAATTTAAGCAACTTTGGATTCCGCTATGTTCTGTCACAATACCCGGGTGTAATAAATCTCCCAGCGGAATTAGTACCCTCGCACGGCGCTTCGCGCCGGCTCGGGGATTATAGTTCTTGAGGTGTTAGCGTAATCTTTATATTATAATATTGTTATAAATAAGCTTTTTAGATATTTAGGATGAATACAATATATAGGGACACAGTCTTCTTCTCTCTTTTGTGTTTATCTTTCCCGCAAGGCTTTCTATACATGGCGGTATCTCTTCAGAGGGGTATTTTCGAAATTTTGCTGGGAAAAGTTTGTCGAGTTTCCCCGTCTTGTCGTCAAAAAGATCAGCAACATGCAGCGTTCGGAAATAAGTCAGTCCACATCCGAAGTTCCGAGCATACTGGGTTTTTTTTATGAAACAGAGATTTCAGGTATCTTAAAAATTTGAGCAAGTCGATTGGTTCACATAATTATTCACAAGCATGTGCTGTTTACCGCTCCTTCTCAACAGGTTGAAAATTATAATAACTTGTAGGTACACCACGTAAGTACCTACAAGTTATTATAATTACTAAAGTCGCCATGCAATCATACAAGAAAATTATTAGGTTGAAAATTATTTAAAAAAAAATAGGTGTGAGGCGTGACAGCATTCTAGCGTTCGCAGCGAGATAAATAAATCTCTCTGTCATGTGGGACAAATGTATATTATTAAGGCGATGAGGGGAGTTGCAATGTCATAACAGCGTTCCGGAAAGAAAAGCCCCTGGTTTTATTAAGAAATTTAAAACCTTAATTTAATTAACGTAGTTCCGTCCTATTGGCTACAATAGCGTGAGAGTTCCATAGTCTTCGCGTTAAGTTATAAGTTATAGTGGGAATCTTTTGATGTCTTCAATTTTTGCACCCTATCTATTCACGACGCCTACGTAAGAAGTATACTTGCATATTCAGCCTTAAGTAAATGAAAAATTATGTAGTTGTTACAATAAACTGTCACATATAATCATGATGTGATCATTCGAGTTAAGTGCAGAATAAGCCTGTCAGTAATATATGAAGATCTATTCATTGGAGAAAAAATTTATTTGGCGAAGGGGCTATGGATCCTGAAAAAGTTGGTTCTGCAATATTCTTCAGCAAACGTTTAAAAGCGAATAAATTATTGTAAATCCCTGTATTTTCATAAAACTACAAAACCATTTTCAAAATTTTTGGTAAGGTATTTACCGATATTTCATTCACACTCAACATACACAAATCACGGACTACAGCGTAAATGCAAATTTGTATCATAATTCGATTAAAAACTTAGAAGACTTACCTTACAAGGGCATTAAGTAAAGATTTTCAGTATTTGTCTCTTGGGAAATAGCAGTTTAATTAAAAATTGTCGTTGCGATAATTATTTCTATAACGCGAACGAGCGAAGCCTTTCTTTTAGTTATAATTCCATCATGTGGTAGCCTAAAGAGCGATATTTCCCCTGAAATATGTTCGCTTAGATTTGCTTTTCAGAAATTTCGACGGATTCATGTATTAATGCATTCGATTCAGCCTGAATCAGCCAGGATGCAGCGAACAGACCAATTTAACGTGTTATGTATAAACTATATCCGAGTTCGAAGTCGAGAAGTATCGAACTTTATTGTTTATCATGCTTATTGCGCAATCAAAAACAGGCCACCGTGTCGCACCGTGAGCTCACGTGACAAAAGCTTGCCCTGTGATTGGTTTGCGACACTCCACCGTGTCCGAACGTTACTATATTTAGTAACAATTGTGTAATAATCTGCACGCTGACTGTGTGAACTAGTTGCTGTGATCGCAGCTTCGAATGCACGACAAGCTTCTGCGAACATACTCGGCAGTTTTCGGCAAAAAAGAATATAATCCACATAGTTTTGAGCCATTGCGTGGTATTTAGAATCGAATTTTGAAATTTCAAAAAATTGATGAAATCACAATTTTTTCTTTGGTCCCCCATTACCGATTATTCTCGAAATTATGAAATTTATCAAATATGACTATATGTGTTCAAGTGAATTCGTAACATCATAGAATTTAATTGTACTTAGTTTTGAACCATTTCGAGGTATTTTGAATTGAATTTTGAAATTTCAAAAAATGGACTAAAATCACAATTTTTCCTTTGGTCCCCCAATAGCGATTGTTGTGAAATTTTGAGATTTATGAAAGTATGATTTTATGTGTTCAAATGTATTCGTAACATCATAGAATGCAATTCTACTTAGTTTTGATCTCTTTCGAGGTATTTGGAATCCAATTTTAAAATTTGAAAAAATTGACGAAAATCACAATTTTTCAATTGGTCCCCGGGATTTAATTTTCCACGGCTGTGGAGAGAGGGTGTGCCCACGGTAACCTATATTTTTACAAATTTCAATACTTTCTCCATAAATGACAACTATATATTACACTAAACTAGCCGATTTTTTAACGTTTGACATCCAGTCGAGTGGTGAAGTGATCTGTTACCCGTCCGTGATGCCTAGGTTCAAAACGCGTCGTTGCTATTTTTCGTTCTCCAATTTTCACTAATTTTTTTTCTATCTTTCGAATATTTGCAAGCTCAGTAATTGAACCACTGACAATATCTTCTGGGTAGTTCTTGGGTTAGGGTTAGTGTCTGGTTTATTTGCACTCTTTATTTTGTCCTTTATAAGAGTGTGAGATTTTGGTGGATGGAAAATACGTAATCTTCAGCAGACCCTCTCTCTCTCTGCCCGTTGAAAATTGAACCCCTTGGTCCCCCGTTATAGATTTTTCTAAAATTTTGAAATTCATTAAAGTATGATTTTTGTTGATTATGATAAAGTATGATCATTAAAGTATGAATGTAATTGTACTTAATTCTGACCCATTTCGACGTATTTGGAACCGAATTTTGAAATTTCAAAAAATTGACTAAAATCACAATTTTTCCTTTAAATTTGGTCTCCCATTACCGATTATTCTGAAGTTTTTCAAATTTTTTATAGTATGATTTTATGCGTTCAAATGTATCGTAACATTAAAAAATTAAATTTTAATTAGTGTTGAACCATGACGTGGTATTTTCAATTGACCTTTGAAATTTTAAAAAATTGACTAAAATCACAATTTTTCCTTTGGTCCCCCATTACCGATTATTCTGAAATTTTGAAATTTATCATATATGATTTCATGTGATCAAATCCATTCGTAACTTCAAATAATGTAATTCTACTTAGTTTTGAACCTCTTCTAGTTATTTGGAACTAAATTTTGGAATTTTATAAAATTGATGAAAATCACAATTTTTCCTTTGGTCCTCCCTTATCCAATTTTCTAGAATTTTGAAATTTATCAAAGTATGATTTTACGTGTTCAAATGCATTCGTACGTAACATCAAAGAATGCAATTCTACTTAGTTTTGAATCATTGCGGGGTATTTTAAATTGAATTTTGAAATTTCAAAAAATTGACTAAAATCACAATTTTTCCT